AGTAACGCTATTGAGGAAACATTTTTGCCCACATGCAAATATAATAATTCAGCGATTTCAGTTTTACAGAAGAGACCAGCTTGAAGGTGAATCGATTCCAGAGTATTTAGCAGCTCTTCGAAAATTATGTCAAAGCTGTGATTTTAAAGATTTGGATGAAATGCTGAGAGACAGATTGGTTTGTGGAATGAGAGACACGAATGTTCAGAAAAGGCTGTTAGCTAACGAAAAGCTGACATTAGAAATTGCGGAGAATGAAGCAATAGCCAATGAAGAAGCACAGAAAAGTTTAACAACGCTGAATGGTACTAACAACGTACAAGCTGTAAACTTAATACATAGCAAAATCGCAAAAGATACAAACAAATGTTTTAGATGTCATAGTAGACACTCTGCTGATAAATGCCGGTTCAAAAACGAAGAATGTTATTTCTGTAAGAAAATGGGACACATTGAGAGAGCATGCATAACCAAAACAAAAAAGCAAAAGTCACAAAACCAACAAAAACATAATCGCCGCCCAAACGTCAATCAGGTTTCGGATCAAAAAGGAGACAACGAGGAGTATATTTTGTCCGTCTCTTGTCAAAATACATCATCGTTTATACGAGAGGTAAAAATATATGACCGTGCAGTGAAGATGGAAATTGATTCCGGGGCCAGTCATTCTATTATGAGCCAGAGAAAATTCATCGAATATTTCGGAAAGATGCCGCTCGAAGAAAGTGATATAGACTTACGTACATGGGGTAATGATAGAAAGCTATCTATAATTGGAAAAATTCTGGTTCCAGTATGTACATCGGAATTTATGAGTAAATTGTGGTTGCTGATTGTATCAGGGAATGGCCCGTCATTGATTGGAAGAAATTGGTTTCATGAATTAGGAATTCAAATAGTGAGCAGTTGTAACCGGAACGATGCCCATATTCCAGAACAAATTGAAATGTACAGCGAAGTATTTAGTGAGGGTCTATGCGACTATAAAGGAGACAAAGTAAAACTCAACGTAATGGAAGGTGGTAAGCCAAAGTTTTATAGATTTCGCCCGGTGCCATTTGCCCTTAAACCCAGAATAGAGAAGGCTTTACAACAAATGATTGACGACAACATCATTCAACCAGTAAAGTATAGCGAGTGGGCAACACCCATCGTTCCAGTGGTGAAACCAGATGGTAGTATTAGGATATGCGGGGATTACAAGTGTACGGTAAATCAAATTCTGTGTAATGAGACGTACCCCCTTCCGACCAACACTGAAGTTTTTGCAATACTGTCCAACTGTAAGTGGTTTTCAAGGCTAGATCTCGACAGAGCTTATACCCAAGTAAAAGTTGATGAGGAATCTGAAAAAATTCTAACATTGAATACTCACAAGGGATTATTTGGAGTAACCAGACTACCTTTCGGAATATCAACAGCACCAAGCATTTTTCAAAGGCTAATGGAAAGCATATTAGGCGATGTTCAAGGAGTAGTTGTTTATTTAGACGATATTCTGATTGGAGGGTCAACAATGGAAGAAATGTGGAGACGTACAAGAGAAACACTTCATCGCATACGAGATGCAGGCCTAAAATTGAAGAAAACAAAATGTGTATTTGCAGTGCCAGAAATAACGTTTTTAGGCTTTGTGATAAATCAGAATGGAGTCAAACCAACATGTGAAAAAGTAAAGGCAGTTTCGAACGCACCCGAGCCGACAAATAAGCAACAACTCCAGGCCTTCTTAGGATTACTAAATTTTTATTTTTATGACCGATTTTTCTATTATACAGATTGCTAAAGAAGGACGTTTGTTTTAAATGGGGTAGCGAGCAGAAGTCCAGTTTTATGAAAGCCAAAGAAATTTTAAAGTCTGAAAAGGTGTTGGTACACTACTCGCCAGACTTGCCACTTATATTATCGGGAGATGCATCACCATATGGAGTTGGAGCCGTTCTCGCTCATATGAGACCAGATGGAAAGATACACCTATAGCTTTTGGTTAGAGGACACTGCAGCCAGCAGAAAAAAAATATTCTCAGCTCGACAAAGAAGCGCTAAAAAACCAATTCCACAGCACATATCACCCAGGTTGTTAAGATGGTCGTTAATGTTGGGAGCGTATCAATACGAAATTAAATATAGAGAGGGATATAAAAATCAAAACGCAGATGCCCTTAGTAGGTTGCCATTGGTGGTTGATAAAGGTGTTCCAGTGAATTTAAACGTATTATACCACATTGAAGGTGAGGAACAGTTTTTAATAACATCGAAGGAGATTGCGAGAGCAACAAGAACCGATCCAGTAATTTCCAAACTCATGTTTCACATACAAAGAAAGCACAACGATTTGTTAGCAGATTCAGAAGAAATCAAACCATACGCCACAAGAATAAATGAACTTTCAATTGAAAGTCAATGTTTGCTATTGGGAAGCCGAGTAATAATTCAAAAAAAAACTTCGTGGGAAAATGTTGGCAATGCTACATGAAATACATCAAGGCATAACATCGATGAAAGCAATCGCTCGCAGTTACTTCTGGTGGCCGGGATTAGATAAGGATATTGAGACCTTAGCAAGAGGATGTGAAAAGTGTTGTAATCGAATGCCGTGGTCCAGATTACACGTAGATTATGCAGGTCCATTTTTGGGAACAAATTTTTTAATTGTGGTTGATTCTCATTCAAAATGGGTTGAGGTAAAAATTACGAATTCAATCACATCAAGTAGGACAATTGAAATGTTACGCGATATATTTTCGACACATGACATACCTGACACAGTCGTTACGGACCATGGGAGAAATTTTGTATCGGAGGAATTTGAGGAATACTTAAAGAGAAGTGGAATTTACCACGTGCGAACTGCACCATACCACCCTTCTTCAAATGGACAAGCGGAGAGGTTTGTGCAGACAATTAAAAATCTTCTGAAGAAAGTAAGTTCAACGAATTTAAAGAAGGAAATAGCCAACATACTTTTGAGACTTCGCACCACACCAAACAACAACAACATGACGCCGTCCGAAATGTTGATGGGGAGGAGGATAAAGACATTAATGGATCACATACACCCAGCCAATTCAAAAATGGAACAAACCATACCACAGACGACAGTAAGGAAATTTAGAACAGGTGATAACGTTTGGTACAGGAATTATGGTAATGGGGAAAAATGGTTGCCAGGAACGGTCCAGTCTACCGGTTCGAGGAATTATGAAATTATAGATGGAAACAATATGCAGTCAAGGTACATAAACCAGCTGCGTAGCCGGTTATCCGAAACAACAACACCTTTGACAACAACTGATTCTATTGGACAACAAGAAAATACGCCAGATGAGACCGAACAACATGCAGTTCCAGACAGTTTGCCACTTGAAAATACAACAACTATAATAGACACTACACCAGGAACATTCCAAGGACCCGAGCAAACACCAAACCGAAATCGTCCAGTACGCACTAGGAAAGCTCCTCAGAGATATGGTGACTACGTGATGGGGGAGGAACTGTAGTATAGTGTAAATATGCCAGTACTAAAAATTGCAACTATGCAAAAGTATCATTAGCTGTCAAGTTGCATCTGACTCCTTTTTCTTAAATTAGTGATCGATGTAAGCACACGTTGTAATAAAAAATATACTTTCAATTTTCTAAATAAATGAATTACATATGAAATAATCATGTTACTTTCTATATAGATTTAATAATAAATATTGTAGACATATCAAATCTCTTCTATAATATTTGCATTTGTGATCGACGCGCCGTTTTGGCGTTAGATGTTTAAAATTTTTTGTAAACATGTATTTTGATAAGTCAAACAATAATTCTGTAGTTACGTCGGTTTGCAATTTAGGCGACGATATGTTTGTTAAATACGTCTCATTGAGGTGTAAATTGAATGGTCAAACAAAATATATCTTTTCATTAAACTAAAGTATAATCATTGTAATTTAAATATTTCTGTGTTGTATTTCTAATGTATGTAGTACATATGAATATTTAGTAGTAGTCGTTTCGGCATTACTTATAATAATGGTTGTATATTTTATGTTGTCGACATCAATCTGTAATTTTGATTTTATTATCTAAATATGAAAATAGTAAGAAGTTTTTCACTTATTTTGTAGATTCTATTAATAATATATAGCTAACACTAATTTAACTTCAAAGAATTATTTTTATGCAAAATAAATAATTTGCTGATTCAATATAAGCGTATTCATTGATTTGTTATTGTTAGAAGACACATTACGTTTTGTCTGGAACATCTCACTCTCGGAAAATATATTCTGCATCATAAACAATCGGTTTGCATGGTTTCGAATTATTAGCTCAACCAATAACACGTTTGGGAATACTATATAACAATGTAAAGATATTATATTCCAAGAGTAGAGTCTGTCACATGAAAAATGTATATATTAAGAGATATTTTGTATGCAGTGCTAATCGAATCGACGAGATCGACCAACGTGTCCAGAATATGGGTATATTAGATTTTGATATTTTTATTATATTTGCGATAGAAAATAAATAAATAAAAATAATAATATTGAAGTCAACACACACATCGATTCGATTTACACCACATAACTGTATATTTAACACAGGTAACATTGAACAGTCATTTCGATATGATTCTTAATGGAAGAAATGTAAGATAGTCGTCGTCAATAGTAATTTTAGAAATGTATTTCTTTAAAAGTCAATACACAATTTCCTTTTTATAGATGGAAAAGTCTAATAGGTTAATATATAAATTGACATTGAAATAGCAACTCTAAAAATATGAATTAATTTGTTTGTTATGTCTATCGTAATATGTAGTCTGTGCGCAAATGCTCTGCTACAACATTCTCGATAGATATTCAGATGTGGTATTGGGTTACCCGCATTTCTGAACTGACGTTTAGAAGAAATTGCATTTGAATCACAAATCGTTTGTACTCTCCACTTTAACATTAAAAACGTCGCGTTCGCGAAATTTGTAGGGATTTTTCAATGTTTTACAAAACGTGTAGGTTCTCACAGCTCTTTGATTTCGAAATGTCAGTAAGGCAAATTTTATGAAGTATCTCCTTTGCCATTTGTAGAGATATATGGGTCCTAGAGGTTTTTATTTTAGATGAGTTTGCTTTCTTCTCCCTGGACTCTTTCAAACGCATCTGTAAAAGAGGAAAATAAATAATAAGCTGCCACATCAAAACTACAATATCATGTGCAATATGACAAATTGTATTTTTAAAAATCCTCCAGCTGGAAAATTGTTTAGGTCTGCTGGGAATGCTTGAAACAGTTAATATCTCTTCATTTTGGAAAAAATTCAAATTAATATCTCCTTCACACACCAATTTAGAAGCTGTAGAAATTCGTAGTAGTTTTAATTTAGCTGCTTTGTAAATAGCTGGACTTTGGATTTAGCTGCCCAAAATACACTTTTTTCGTACTTTTTCTCATATTCCCTCTCAAATATTTTGTTTAAGCGCACAATTCATACCTGCACAAGATAACAGCTCAGAATATTTGCATATTTTCCCTCTGACATTTTTGCACAAGGAATATCAAATTAAGAAACAGTCGTTATATTTTACATATGGTCGGAAACCACACACACTGTTTTTCGAATTAGTTCGAACATACTCTGTTATTGTGTCAGCATGAATTGACGGCAAGACTGATTCTCAAACTTTAAACGCATTTTTCTCGAAGCAGTGTTTTTGCGAATGGCGGGCACGATAACTCAAAAACTAATTATCCAACGGTTCCAAATATTGATACGTTTCTCGTATAAACTAGGATAAAGCCAATCGGTAAAGAACTTCCTTATTTTTTAACTAACAGCCTGTTTTTGTAAAATTCGAAACGAAACAATTCGAACGAATTACTACCAAACCTTTATTTATGTAAAAAAATGTTTCTTGATTCAAAACAAAAATAAATGACATATTTTTCAAAACCAAGGAGTTTGGTCGTAAGTCACTCGAATTCGTTCGTTTATAATTTTACAAAAAACAGGCTGTAAGTTTGTGATCAAAAAACAATATTCAAAGGTCCACCATTTTGTTAATTTTTGAGAGCCGTTGAGTTTGAGTGATGAGTTATCATGCCCGCCATCAAAAATAAGAACTTTTCAAAGGACTCACTATTAGATACTTTTTAATTTCGCATATAGGACGTTTAACGTTCAATTGGACAGTGAGTGTAAAAAGTATTTTGCCTCAATAAAAATTTGAAAAAATTCTAATATATACGTCTGAAGCCAGCAAACTAAAGATGTAAAATGACTTATGTATGATGGAGTACATTTGTGGACATATTTAGATCGTATTTCTGCAAGAATCACAGCGAAAGACCTATTGGTCTCGAAGATATCGGCCGAAATATATAATAATCCAAAAATGTTTATCACAAAAAAGTATTTTGCTTTTTATTATTATTTTAGAAAAAATTGTTACATTGGACACGTTTGGTCTTTTTATAGTTACAATTGCGGTTAACCACATACTGTAAGCGATTTGACCACGATTCCATTACATCACGGCATTTTTTCGTGGGTATTTTCTCACATTTACATTCAATACATTCTCCATCAGTATTTCATTTAATATTTGGTATTTTCTCGTCCTAATCTTAAGATGAGAGTATTAAACATAGTCATTGGGGCTTCAAAACATCCCAAATATGTTTAGAATAATAAAGAAGAGGTTTTGCAAAATATAACGCGAGGACAGAACCTTAAAAACTATAAAAACCAAAATCCGACAAACAAATTATTTAAAAAAAATTCGCGAAACTCAAATTTTTTGACTTCGAAATTTGTATGGTCCAGTAATATTGATCTAGGAACCAATATATGCAATGTAAATACCAATAAGTGGGTCAGATTCAAAGATATGAACAGTTCTAAAGCAATAGTAATAAAAACCAATACATGAAGTTGGGATAAAACATCATTATTCGTCAAATCCTATTGTCTTTTGAAAAACTCTGGTTGCTGGTGGCGAATACGCATTCTATATTTTATCTCCGATTAACACCATCAGTTGCGAATAAAATGCAGTAGGGAATAAACGGGTCGATGTATTTTTTTTCGAAATAAGATGTATTTCTATTGCCAGAAAACCGTCCATATATTTGAATCTGACCTCCTTATCGCTATTTTCATCGTATATTTTGGTTCCTAGATCAATAAAAATGAACCATAAAGTTTTCGAAGTTAGAAAAATGGGGTTTCGCGATATTTTTTTAAATAATTTGTTTGTCGGATTTTGGTTTTAATAGTTTTTAAGGTCCTGTCCTCGCGATATATTTTGTAAAACCTCCTTTTTATTATTCTTAACATATTTGGAGTGTTTTGAAGCCCCGACGACTATATTTAATGCTCTGATTTTGAGATTAGGACGAGAAATTACCAAATATTGAATGAAATGTTGCTGCAGAATGTATTGAACGTAAATGTGAGAAAATACTCGCGAAAAATGCCGTCGTTTATTGGAATCGTTGCCAAATCGCTTATAGTATGTCGTTACCCGCAATGGTAACCACAAAAAGACCAAACGTGTTCTATGTAAATATTTTTTCTAAAATAATAATAAAAAGCAAAATACTTTTTTGTGATAAACATTTTTGGATTGTTATATATTTCGGCCGATATCTTCGAGACCAATAGGTCTTTCGCAGTGATTCTTGCAGAAATACGATCTAAATATGTCCACAAACATACTCCATTATACATAATTCATTTTACATCTTTAGTTTGCTGGCTTTAGGCGTATATATTGGATTTTTTTCAAATTTTTATTGAGGCAAAATACTTATTACACTCACTGTATATATATATATAATATCAAATCATATATTGTGGGAAAATATAACGTTGTGAAAAATGGTACCTGCTTCAAAACACCAACTAGTAGTTCATCTACATTATGCTGTATACCACTGGACGTTTCAATAAATTTGGCATCTCGAGAGGCGGCAAGTGCTTTGCCATCTAAAAAATAAATAAATAATACATTGTAATATACGATATAATGTCGATGTATTTAGCATCTTTACCCTGGGATGATATAACCCGTGACCTTGCTAAATCAGCCTTATTGCCCACAAGAATAACGGCTTTATCCTTCGTATAGTTCTCCTGCCATAAGTAATTGATGATTTCTTCCGCAACACGAAAGGACGACTTTTCCACAATGGAGAACACCACCACACAGCCATGGGGTTCGTAAGTTGACAAGGAATTTTCCACCTGATTGAAAGTTGTCCAAACAAATCGAAAATACGTACATTACTATCTGTGGATATTGTCCCTATAATTCACAAAAATATGCTCTTACACTCATTTCCACACTTGGATGATCAATGAACACCAATTCGGACTCCTCATCATCCAAGAGAACGCTAACCGTCTTCTCGCCGAATTCATCATCTAAAACTCAAATGTGAATTATTCACTAAAACATACCAAATGTTAAAAAGCTAAACGAGTGAAGAAAAGAAGTATTGGTGTGGGGGAAGGATGCGGGTTGGAGTGCAAAGGTAACATCTGACTTACTGTGATTTAAGTCGTGATTTTTCGCATGAAAACTCGTTCAAAACTTATGAAAGCAAATGTGCATTTCACCGCGTTTTTCTATATTAACTTACCTAGACTTGCATCATAGGTGTGCATGTACTCGGAAGTCATGAACTGATTGACCAGGGCCGTTTTTCCAACGCCAGCATCTCCCAACATTACAATACGGTATCTGGGTGGCGGCGGAGGCTCAACGTTTTCCGAATCCTCATCTGGAGAACCTGGAACAGAGTCCACATTTGCATAGCCACCTCCACAGCATGAACCATCAAATGGGGATCGTTCGCTAGCTCTATGTATGAGATAGGAAACATCAACATGTGTTAAAGAGGCCATAGTCCAATTGTACACATAATAATTCACACTGGTAGTAATAACAGGTGTTCAATTTAAAGGTAATATCCCCCTACTATCTTAAAATTAGAGCCTTCTTAGGACATAATATTTATACACAATTATATGCATTACATAAAAGTATTTATCATCTATCCCTACGTGAGTCCCTCTCATCTTTAAATTCCCACTTTTTGCAATGCAAATTACTGTTCCTAATTGAGTATCATCATTTTAAGGATGGATATTAATTAGATGAAAAAAATCCTATCTTCGGCTACGTAGGCCAGCTATCTATCCCTACTCACCTGCTATTTGTAGAATTAACACTTGTGTTACTGCGGGATCGCCGAGATATTATAGAGTCTCCGCAATTAACTACGTTGCCCTTACTTATGGAAAAATGTCGTAAACGGTAAAGATCATCGCTAACTCTTGGATTGTATGGACGGTCCGGTAATGAGCAAACCCTTGGGCGGAAGTGATCTGGAACTGTGAAAGGAGGCGTATGTTGGGTAAAACGTATAATGTGGCAAAATATATATCTCAACTAACCTGGAAGCTCCAGGAAATTTGATGTTCGGCGTTGGCGCCCTCTATTTGACGCCTGGAAAGCTAGTGGTCCTATATCGTCGTTGGATACCAAGGAAGCGTTTGAACAAGCACTCTTCATCGACTCGCGAGAACTTCGGCGACTAGCCAAATATGCCAGGCCGCCCTTTGAACTACCGCGCCTGCGTGGTTTATAATTACCAGCTGTCGGGGTAGCTGATTCCCCTCCCATTTTATGTTTGCCTCTTTCGCCTTCCGTGTCTTGAGTTAAGTCGCTAGTCGATTTTCTATGCCGCAAAGAAACCACACTATCCGAGCAGGTGCGATCTAGCGTTGAGTGTGAGCTGTGAAGTACCTGTATGATCCGAATGGAAGTTATTTAGAAAACAAACAGAAACATGAAAAATCTCATCGTCTTCATACTTGGTATCCGGGATTGGATGTTATGTTAATTGCGTGTCTTCGTTTGCGGATCATTGATTTCTGTTCCGCTAGTGGACTTAGATCTTGAGTCTGGTCAGACGTTGTAGTTTGTCGCGTTGAAGTGTCCGAATAACTGAAAGATGTTGTTGTCGTAGCTACGGTACTAGTTTCCGATTCTACGGATAGTTGTGTACAGTCTGTTACACAGGAATCTCTTTTAAGATAATAATTACTCGGTCCCAGTCCTTGATATCCTCCCAAATTCGATGAAACTGTCATATCCCACTCATCACTTCGAACCGGAGACTTGTTGGTGTTGAATCGGGGAAGATTTTCTAATGGAGTTGAGCGTAATAGCTTCTTTGAATTTTGTCTGTGAGGCTCGTGCAAGTTTGGTGACATGGGTGCAGCGGAGTGATTGTTCTCAAAATATCTTCCTGAAAGAACAGGGTTATCGCTGATTTCGTCCTCATCGACATCAGGAGATACTGGCTCGTAGTATTCAAATTTTCGGCTAGGAGAATCCATTAGAGGGCTAATGGCTTCAAAGACAAATTTGCATGGTGTATGTGGACTTCGACGCGGAGATATGGGAGTTTGACTGTTGTTGTACAAGTTGCATGACGGAGAGTCCATTGAATTGTCATTAGAATAAACTCCTTTAGGACTTCTAGATCCTGTGGATGGAGTGTGGTAGTAGGAAGTCGACGATAGCGCATCGTCGCTACTATCATTGGCGTATGTTGTTGTAATTTTTGGGCTACGAGGCGGATTATCCCGACTGCTTGATCGAGTATTTGGAGCTGACGATGTCGTCGGCGCATCCGAATAGTTGCTATGGCAACTGTAGTTACTTCGTATCGAAGGACTCCTCTCTGCGGGAAGAGTTGATGGTTTTATGCCCGAATCGTAGGCATTGACACCGATCGGCATTGGAAGATTTCTGAGCAAATTCATCGATAGTTATGAAACGAAGTCAGGAAAAAAAAAATTAAAAGAAAATAATTCGAGTTTTTGGCATTGATTACATATAAATAATTAGGCTTGGAATATAAACATATGTACATAGATAATTTTTTGCGTATTTCAATTTTCTCATACAGTTTCAAAGTAAAGCTTATCAAAAAATTACGGCAGTAAAATCATTCAATATTTAGTTGTGATTTTCTTCAATTCATATCACTTGGTGTAAGTTGAACTTGTAAACACGGAATTGACCAGCATCCGAACTGTTTTATTTTATAATTCACATTCCGAGGAAGATACTCCGAATTATTGATCTCACTTTATTAACATTTTATTGCAATTTGAAGAGAATAATCATTAAAAAGAGTGAACTCTTTTATTAATTTCATAAATTTGTGTAATGAAGTTTAACACACGCAGTTTAATTATATAAAATAAAAGTTACAAATTATAAAAGCCTTAGAATTAAATAAATTATTTATATGTGGATATACCAAAACGTTTAACATAGAATGCGCTTTTACACAATATGTTTTTTACAAATCGCTCATTTGCTGCAAAACCGGCATTAACAATTAAAAACTTGTTTTTTGAGATATTGTTCGCAATGTCAGACTTTATGTCGTGTAAAAATTCAGATGAATATCTCTTTCACACTCTGATGGGTATTTACGATCTTGAATAGCTAATACAGCATTTTACACCATATTTCCGGGTTTTTGTTATTAAATCGGACATGGACCCAGGTATTCCATTTTCTATACGAGTATTTGTTTTGATATTAATGAGTTTATATTTGAATATTGGGAACTACCAGAAAACGTGGACATGCGTCGATACATTTTTGTAAACATAGAGAACTCGTCTATTATGTGGATAATAGACAAAATGTACTTTAAATCGGGAGCCAAATTTTGGCAGTTAATTAGTTTATACCCAATGTTTGGGAAAAGTATTTACCGACGTATTTAAAGTATTACAGCCTTACCTAAAATTCAACTAGCTTGTTCGACGTTTTTCACCACAAAAGTAGAACACATTTATTTATATGAATGTTACCGAAATACGTCGACGTACGAATTTTCAAAGTTGAAAAAATTCAACTATAACAGAACGTAAATTTGTTTTTTCCTTTTGTTGAAAAAAGAAACAAAACATAAAGAATCGTTGAATTTTAGATAATGTTGTTATAAAACAAATAAAAAGTGTCTGTCAGTGTCACCCTATGGTTTGCAGAGGATGTTGGGAGATACCAGAAAGAGTGGACCATTGGGTCCCATCTTTGGATTTGATCTAGACTTGGTAAAGATAACAGGTTGTGAAAAGCTTGATTGAAATTGGACATTCCATCTTCAAATTTGGTCTAGGGTTGCAAAGTTTGTTTCAAATCGGACATTTCAATCGCCTGATATTGGATTTAAAAATATTGAAAATTTCGATCAATTGAGGTGGGGGTACCGGAAGGAATGGACCAATGGGTCTCATCTTCAAACTTGATGTAGGCTTGGGAAAGATAATAGGTTGTGCAAAGTTTGGTGGAAATCGCACATTCCATCCTGATATTGGATTTATAAATATTTAAAATTTTAAACCTTTTTGTTGGCGGGCATGAAAACTCGTCACCTGAACATCGGAATACGGAAATTCCAAGTGTGTTAGAAAGAGTACGTGTCATGTATGAACTAGGATTATTGACTTCGCTAAAAATTAACAACATGGCGGATCTTTGCATTCTTTGACCACAATATACTTTAAAAAATAAGATAATTCTTTGCCGATTGGCTTTATCCTAGTTCATACGATAGCTATACACTCCCAGAGAAACGTATCAAAATTTGGAACCGATTGGATAATTAGTTTTTGAGTTATCGTACCCGTCATTCGTAAAAACACTGCTTCGGGAAAAATGAGTTAAAAGTTTGAGAATCACTCTTGCCGTCACTTGATGCTGACACAATAAATCGGCTATATCTTCAAGAGTTCATGAGGTTTGCACTGGAGGGGCATTCTTGAATTAGTGTAGATTCGAATTAAATAAAAAAAAAAATAAATTAAATTTTTGACACTGAGAATGGGGGGTCCCCTTAAATGGTAAGTGACGAAAATTTGTTGCGGTTTTGAGAAATAAAAAATCATAAATCCTAATTTTCCATTAACTTAAATACATATATATTGATATGGATTCACTATGTGCACTTGTTGACGCAAATATGGGTCGCAGACTTACCTAAGCTGTTTGGGATTTTTAAAAGGCAGCGGGGATGATGATGTCCGCGTAGCTACATTATTTACTGTTGTTTTCGCACAAAATCCTGCCCCGGTTTCATCCCAACTATAGTGATGTTGTTCAAATTTTGCATTAAAGCGCGGACTGTGCGCTGGGTGTCTTGGACTGGTCATGTCGACAGATGTTGCTGCTGTAATTTCGCGGATATTTTGTACTACCTTCAATTCATTGCGTCTGTGTGGTGTTGTGTGTGGAGTGGCGTGCTGTTAGAAATAGATAGAAGTACATACATATTTTGTTCATTCCCTTTTCCATATACATTTACGAAGGCACATAAAACACCCATTCTGGCTTTAATTGCGGCTAAATATTCGTAAGCTAGGCGATAATAAATAACATCCGAACGTGCCCGCCAACCAAACTGTTGCTTTTGAACTTTGCTTTATATACTCAATTTACGATACAAAGGTATATAGAGAAGCATCCTGAGAAACAAACAACTACAACACACACACATACAATGCACAAGGATCCTAACATTGAATGGCCTGGAAAGTAAGTGTAAAAGTGAAGACTCTGTAAGTTTGCCGACTTCCCTTGTCCATTGCTTGATAAGTGTTGTGTGTGTAATTTGTGTGCGGTATGTATTATATATTGCGATTCCAACAATGCCTTTTAACACAGAGGGGAAGAGAGCACGTCGCTTGGTATGTTGTATACAAAAAATGTTCTGCGTATTGCTTTGTGTAACGTCTACATAATCAATGTTTGCTCGATACGTTAATTAATAGCTGTTATTTTATTTGCATATCCTTTGCACTGGCTTGGGAGTTGTCTATAAATACTTGCCATGGCAAACATAGCATTCCATTCAGATACTTTTGTTATTTTGTTGAAGTCCATGCTAAATGCTAATTGAAAATTTTTTTTGTGGCGTTTGTAATTCAAATAAATTTTCGTGTGATTGTTTATGTTTCTGTTGAAATGCATAGAATGTGTCCGTTTTTATACCCTTCACCACACTGTGGTACAGGGTATTATGTCTTTGTGCACATGTTTGTAACAGGCACAAAGAATCGAGATCGACCCGAGATAGACCCATGGTTCCTTTTGAGAATTTGCATAGAATCACTCTGAATCGATTTATGCATGTCCGCCCGTCTGTCCATGTTAAATTGTAAACAAAGTCGCATTTGTGATCCGAATTGGATGAAATTTGGCACAGCTCATTTGTTTGGCTCAAGGACAAATCCTACTGAAATTGGAAAAAATCGGTTCAGATTGAGATATAGCTCCCATATATAGTTTCGTCCGATTTTCAGTAAATGGTGCACCAAAGCCCCGAAATAAAGCCGATTAGCACACAATTTGGCACAACGTACTGGTGTTAGTATAAACTAACGTGTGGAAAGTTTCGTTGAAATCGGTTCAAGAAGATTTGGGGTGGGAATTCCCTTGGCTCGTATATTAAAAATAGAGAAGGACAAATTCGACATAGGTCAAGTTTTAACTCTAAGTGTATTACATATCACATATAGTTCGAAGTCGCTAAAAATATGGTACAAGCCAACAGTTTCATTGTTGTACCCACGGATCTAGTTATATGTCTCTCAAGCAGACAATTCATTCCATGTAATTAGCAGTTTTTTTAGCTTTCAAATATTATGTATATAAGTTGTATCGGTTGTTTGAAACAGTTACAAATATCGGTTATTGTATTTGAAAATCCGGTTCAAACATTTAGGAAACCGGAACTGTCTCCCGCCATTCTCAATTTTGTACTTTTAAGATTTTAAATGGGCTGGTAAATGAATACCAATGCTTGTTAAGATTTGTAACTTTGAACATATATATTTGAAGATTTAAAAAGGAAGAAAAATAATTTACAAATAATCTTTGTTGTTGTTTTTAGTGATCAAAGGTGGCGGGCATGATAACTCCTCACTGGAACATCGGAATCCGAAAATTCCAACGGTGTTAGGAACTTTCAATTTTATTTTGGAAAATCGCCTATTTTTGACCACAAACTAAAAATAAGGAAGATCATCACCGATTGGCTTTATCCTAGTTCATACAATAGCTATACACTCACAGAGAAACGCCCCAAAATTTGAAATCGATTGGGTAATTAGTTTTTGTTTTGGAGAAAAACGCTTCTAAAGTTGGAGAAGCCCTCTTGCTGTCACTTGATGCTAACACAATAAATCAGCTATATCTTCAAGAGTTCTTCAGATTTTCACTTGAAATTTTGTATGGACATTCTGCAATTAGAGTAGATTCGAATTATACAAAAAAAAAAAAAAATAAAATTGACACCGAAATTAAGGGATTCCCTTAAATATTGCTCCTTATAATTTACTATTTATACAAAATGTATTAGTTTTCGTAGATATAAGGTGTTCTGAGCAACGATAGAGTAAAAATGGTTCTTATCTTTGTATACCCTATCTAAAATCCTACGACCGACATTTTTGTAGAACATATGAAGATAAAAACATTTGGTCTTGTGATATATTGTCAATAAAATGAGTATGGTTCAATAAAACACGCCCAGGGACGCGCGATAAAAGAAGGATATGTTTTACTAAAATATTCCTCGTTAGCCGAAAAAATGTATTCAGCTTTTTATACCCTCCGCCATAGTATGGAAGGTATATTAATTTTGTTTTTCCGTTTGTATCTTATCGAAATAATCTTTTCCGACCCTATAAAGTATATATATATATTCTTGATCAGCGTAAAATGTTCGGTTTCTCAACCGAATTTGCTGAAATTCGCTACATTGGGTTCTTATTGGGTACTAAATGTCTCCACAAAAAATTGTAAATATAGGTCCACTTTTTCTGGTAGCCCCCATATAACGGTACCTCCTAATTTGCATGATCGTATTTTTCCGCCGAATTAGCTGTAATTTAGTATTTTGAGTTCTTAATAGGTACCAAATCTCTCCACAAAAAATTATGAATATAGGTCCATTTTTTCGGATAGGCCCCATATAAGGGTACCCCAAATTTTCGGTATTTTGGGGTTCTTGAGCGTGTTTTTCAACCGAATTTGCTGCAATTTGGTATTTTGTAGTGGTATATGGTAACAAATCCCCCTACCAAAAATTATTAATATTCGCCCCCTTTTTGGGGTAGTCCCGATATAACCCCCTTTTTATATTAAAATAGTTATCTGTTCCGAGTTTTGAGTTTGGTTCTAAAAGTCTGTTGTAATCATTTCACATGCGGAGGATAGCGAGATAAAAAATTAGAAAGTAAGCCGTTAGAATCTTAAATCTTCATATGGGAATCGTTGTTATATATGTGGTTTTAAAATTTCGAACTTAAGGTGTACGAAAAGTGTTAAATGGCATCCAATTTAATTCGAATGAATACAAATGTAATTTTTATGTGGACAATATTTTGAAAGTACAGTATTCCCCGCTTAATTACCTTCCACGCTTAATTAATCCGATTTCAGAATACCCAGTTATTTTCAGTACAATCCCTTACAATATTGCACGTCTAACTACCTCCTTTTAATTACCCATTTCATTTATGTTCCCCTAAATAACCTACCCCAAAGTAACCGTATCTTTAAATCTGTCCCATGTAATTACCCTATTTATTTTCGTTTAATCTGGCAACTTCACTTAAAATGGGTAACATTTGCTAGTGCACTTGCCACACATGTGCACATAGAATCTTTTGTTTAGAAAGTTTTCGTGAAATGTCTCCCAGAAATACATTTTTGTCTATCAAACTAAAGCTGCAGTTAATACCTCAAGCAAAAAAGGAAGAAAAAGCAAAACACCAGTGTCCACCGATATTTACCCTCGCTGGGTAATTAACCGGGGTCTAAGGCTAATTGCCCTAGCGATGTATTTAACCGTGCACTTTTAATTACCTTCCACAAATATTTACTCAAAAATCATGAAAATTTCACTGAGGTAATTACTAAATAATAAATGTTTAACCAAAAATGACCAATTGTTCTCCACTTTTCATTTGAATTTTTTTAGGGTTAAATAAGATGTTTTTACAATCTTTACAAAATATTGGGTTTAAAAATTATTTTGCGTTGAAGCTACAAAAACATGAATTTGGTAGGGTATTTTGAATAAGTTCAAAAAATTTATCCATCACACTGTTGGGAAAGCAGCAACAATAAAGGACTCGTTTTTTAGCATAAAAGTCGCCATACTCAAGTATGGTTAAAATCGAGAAATATTAAAATTTCCGACCAGAATCCGATCGAGAACATGTGTGGAATCTTGACTCATCGTGTCTATGCAGAAAACCGCCAATACCAAACTGTATTTTACCTCCAAAAAGTGATTATCGATTAATGACGGTCAATCGATGAAGAATTGCGAAAAATTTTGATCAACAGTGTGATGGATAAAATTTTTGAACTTATTCAAAATAAGGGAGGCCCTACCCATTATTTATAAAAGTTATTTTATTTAAGTTTTAAAAAATAATTTTTTCCAATTTTGTAAAAGTGCGTCTATAGTTATGCAACACCAGTAAATTTGAAAGTGCCGAATTCGCGAAACCATAAAGAATAAATTAATAATTTTTGTTGAATAATATGTGTTTTTGATCGTTTTATTGTGTACCATAACTTAATGGGTCCATTTTATTTGTCAACTAACATACCAATTGAATTGAAGGTGCGGCTATAGTTATGATACGCAGTGTAGTATAGAAGCACAATGGCAAAGAATTGCCTACTCCCTACAAACTGCAGCAAAAAGAACAATTGGGTACCAAAAAAACCACCACCAAGAAACCCATGGTACAATCAGGAGTGTCGTAATACTACTGATGTGAAAAACGCAGCGTATAGGGCAACCCTGCAGACAGTAGCAACACGTAATGTGATGGAGAATTATCGGGAGAAAAGGAGAGAGGAGAAACGTGTTTTCAGAAAAAAGAAGAAAGAACAAGAAAAATGTGAGCGTGAGCAAATCGAGATGTACAGAAGTCAGAATGAAGTCCGGAAATTTTACCAGCGAGTAAAACACCAAACCGAAGGCTTTGGTGCAGGCACATCCTCCTCCTGTAGAGATGAAGAAGGAAACCTGGTGACAGATACAGACAGCGTGTTGAGGATCTGGAAGGAGCATTTCGAAAAGCTTCTAGTATCAAATAGTGGCGATGAAGAAGATACCCCAGAACCAATA